TGGCGGCATCTCCACTGGCACCTGTGGGTGACTTTGTACGTGGATCATCTCCTTTAACGGGCTTTCCTGGTGACTCAGATGGTAAAGAATCTGCCTGCAGCAGGCCTAGGTTTGATCCCTGGGTTGGGAAGGCCCCGGGGAGAAGGAAGCCGTTACCCACTCCAGTATTCTTGCCTGGAGAATCTCATGGGCAGAGGAGCCTGGAGGGCTACAGACCACAGGGTCACCAAGAGTAGAATACAACTGAGCAACTAACATGCATGCCTCTGCCACTCACCACCAAAGAGAGATACATAATAGAATATAATTAATTGTAAATAATAAAATATAATCAAACCTGGTGCTATTTCACTCAGGAAGCAAAGAGCAAAACTATGACAAAGATCATGATTTGTCTTATAGGCAGACTCAGCACAGGCAGAAACAAAAGACTTCTGAACATTAGTGGTGAGTGAGTGTTCCAAAATGGCAAAGGGAAAGTCATGGTGATCGAGAAATAAAGTGACTTGGGGTGGCTCTCTCAGGGGAGAGGGAGACAGAAATGGAGCTGGGAGACCTTCATGCATTTGCTCTAAGTTGCTTCAGTTCAGTTCAGTTCAGTGGCTCAGTCGTGTCCAACTCTTTGCAACCCTATGAACCGCAGCACGCCAGGCCTTCCTATTCATCACCAACTGCCGGGGTTTACCCAAACCCATGTCCATTGAGTCGGTGATGCCATCCAACCCATCTCATCCTCTGTCATTCCCTTCTCCTCCTGCCTTCAATCTTTCCCAGCATCAGGGTCTTTTCGAGTCAGTCAGCTTTTTGCATCAGATGGCCAAAGTATTGGAATTTCAGCTTCAACATCAGTCCTTCCAATGAACACCCAGGACTAATCTCCTTTAGGATGGACTGGTTAGATCTCCTTGCAGTCCAAGGGACTCTCAAGAGTCTTCTCCAACACCACCATTCAAAAGCATCAATTCTTCGGTGCTCAGCTTTCTTTATAGTCCCAACTCTCACATCCATACATGACTACTGGAAAAATCATAGCCTTGAATAGATGGACCTTTGTTGACAAAGTAATGTCTCTGCTTTTTAATATGCTGTCTAGGTTGGTCATAACTTTCCTTCCAAGGAGTAAGCGTCTTTTAATTTCATGGCTGCAGTCACCATGTGCAGTGAATCTTGGAGCCCCCAAAAATAGTCAGCCACTGTTTCCACTGTTTCCACATCTATTTGCCATGAAGTGATGGGACCACGTGCCATGATCTTAGTTTTCTGAATGTTGAGCTTTAAGTCAACTTTTTCACTCTCTTCTTTCACTTTCATCAAGAGGCTCTTTAGTTCTTCTTTGCTTTCTGCCATAAGGGTGGTGTCATCTGCACGTCTGAGGTTGTTGATATTTCTCCTGGCAATCTTGATTCCAGCTTGTGCTTCCTCCAGCCCAGCGTTTCTCATGATGTACTCTGCATATAAGTTTCTTCAGTCGTGTCTGACTCTTTGCTACCCCATGGACTGTAGCCCACCAGTCTCTTCTGTCCATGGGATTCTCTAGGCAAGAATACAGGAGTGGGCTGCCATGCTCTCCTCCAGGGGATCTTTCCGACCCAGGGATCTAACTCGTGTCTCCTGTGGCTCTTGCACTGCAGGCAGATTCTTTACCCCTGAGTCAGTGGGGAAGGCTGCGAAACCTTTACATTTCACCCTTGATTCTGGAACCATAGCCCAGCCCTTGCCATCTTGCCCTCGGTATAAGTTGACTGGACACAGGTGGGTGTCTGTGAATATCCAACTGAAGAGTTTAAGGAGGGATTATGTTGCTGTGTTTTGAGGAGCAGAAAGGGATCAAAAAGTGAATCATCCACTTTTGGAAAAAGGTAGACATTTCTGAGAGCAGGGATGACTGAGCTTAGAGACTTGAAAGGGGGCTGTGTGGTGAGGGGGACTGGAAACAGAAGGTCACATCAGGAGGACAGGAAGCACAGCTACCACTGGCTGAGACCCCTTCTGTGCCAAGCCCAAGTACTCTTCTGCTGCCGTTCCACCTAGTTCTCCCCACCAGAGTGGATGGGGGGACCCCCACAGCCCCATTTTATACAGAGAAGCAGTGGAGCTCAGAGACCTGCAGGAGGTCATCCATGATCCCACGTGGCAGTGTTGGGACTGAAATCCAGGAATACCTCCCTCCAAGGATCTGTGTGTCTGCCCTTTTTATGCCCTGTCATGACATTTGACATTATGAAACAGAATGTTTACCAAGGGGAAAATGGCTCCTTCACGCAGTGCCTGTGCCCTGTGTACTGTTAACCTCATCTGAATAGGATTTTTTTTTAAGTCCCAAACCTAACACTCGCCCCCCTGCAAAGCCGCCTCTACCTGGCCCATGCCTTCTTGGGAAAAGCTCTTTAGTGTGACTGGCAGGCCTTCAGAATTGAGTGTTCCTGTTTAAAAAAAATAATCTGAGTAAGGAATTCAGTCTCACTTTGGACAGTTAACTCTTTGGCTTGAACAGACAGAAGGAAGTCTGAGTCTTTGAAATCTAGAGAGGGACATTTCTGCAGTGAAGCCTATGTGGCTATTTCACAAGGCACATCTTTTATTGAGGCAGAGGAGGGAATCTCTGTCTCTCGGTGGAAGCTGCCCGCTTCACAGAGAACACCAGCTCCCCTATCTCCGCTGGCTCATCCTGCGAGGCAGTCAGGAAGGCCCACGTGAGAAGCTGCCCCTCCAGGCCCCTGTGACTCCTTCCCTACTGAACTGTGAGCTACTCAAGGTCAGGGACCGGTCGTACTCCTCTAAGAATCCCGAGTTTTAAACTCTTAATGACTGTTTACATGAGTAAATACATGAATGAAGGTGGCAGGTCCAAAGCTTTGTGGGGAGTGTACCAGTAGGAGTCAGATGTGAATTACCCAGCAGGCCAGATACCTCCCACCCAGATTCCAGGATCTTCTCCCCTCCTTTCTTCTTCCCTCAGTGTTATTCTTTCCCAGCCACTCCCAAGTGAGAGGACATAAAGGAGCTGAACTTGCAATTTGTATCCATGCTTCACTCTTTATCTTTTTTTTTTCCTGAAACACAACAGGCCCATGCTTGTGAAGTGAGTGAAAGGTCACTCAGTTGTGTCTGACTCTTCGCGACCCCATGGACTATATCCATGGAATTCTCCAGGCCAGAATACTGGATCCTTCTCCAGAGGATCTTCCCAACCCAGGAATCGAACCCAGGTCTCTCACATTGAAGGCGGATTCTTTAACCAGCTGAGCCACAAGGGAAGCTCAGATATGTTCAATTAGCTCCAGATATAGCGTCCTCTGCCACATTTTATTCCTCCAATATTTAGTCCTTGCCTTCCCAGCTGGAAGGAATAGGAATGCGGTTTCAGAATCCTACTTGATTATGTTTATTGCAGGCCGTTATGGCAAAGGGGCTGCCTGCTGGCTGTACCCTTTCTGAGTGTGTGCCTAGTATCTCCTGAGAGCCATCCCCGGGGGCTTAGACAGAAGCTCGGAGCTGCTGCCACCACGAGGGTGGGTTATCTGCCTGCTTGGCTTCTCTCTTTTATGAATCTTCATCCACTGCGGCAGAGCTGCCTCAGGGCAAGGCAGCACCTCCTATACAGAGCTCCAGGTACCTGGGTGGTGCTATGGCCCTGGGCTTGCTTCTTCCACTCTGCGCTCTCCCTGTGTACTCCTTACCAAGGACCCACTGAATAGTAAGGGAAATGATTTTGAGGGAGGTTGGTGACCAGACAGACTCAAGGATGAAGTGCCTGATCTTGCAATTAGGCAACTTATACTTTTTCTGTCTCTACTTTTCCCCCTTCTCATCTATCAGATGAAGCTAAGCATCCCAACGTTGCATGCTGTCATCATCATTAAAGCTGTGGTTCTCAACACTGGCTGCGCGTTGGGATTCTGTGTGTGTGTGTGCTCAGTCGTGTCCAACTCTTTGTGACGCCATGGACAGGAGCCCACCAGACTCCTCTGTCCATGGAATTTTTCGGGCAGGAATACTGGAGTGTGTTGCCATTTCCTCCTCTAGGGGATCTTCCCAAGCCAGGGATCAAGCCCACATCTCCTTCATCTCCTGCATTGGCTGGTGGATTCTTTACTGATGAGCGACCTGGGAAGCCCAGGATTCTCTGGGGAGCCTTAAAATGCCCATGCCTGGGCTTCTCATGAATCAGTGAAGTCAGAACCTTTGGCAGGTGGGCCCAGGTATCAGTATTTTAAAGTTCCCCAGGAGGATTCCGGAAGTAACAAGAGCGTGGTGTGAACATGGGGAAGCAAAAGAAAACACGGAAGTATGCGACCATGAAGCGAATGCTTAGTCTCAGAGATCAGAGGCTTAAAGAAAAGGATAGATTACGATAACCCTATATGCAAAACAGAAAAAGAGACTCAGATGTATAGAACAGACTTGTGGACTCTGGGAGAAGGCGAGGGTGGGATCTTTCAAGAGAACAGCATCGAAACATATATATTATCTAGGGTGAAACAGATCACCAGCCCAGGTTGGATGCATGAGACAAGTGCTCGGGCCTGGTGCACTGGGAAGACCCAGAGGGATCGGGTGGAGAGGGAGGTGGGAGGGGGGACTGGGATGGGGAATACATGTAAATCCATGGCTAATTCATTTCAATGTATGACAAAAACCACTGCAATGATGTAAAGTAATTAGCCTCCAACTAATAAAAATAAATGGAAAAAAAAAAAGAATGTGACTTAGCTTGGATCCCTAAATATAACCTGTGTGATATTTGAAATATATATTAATTTATGGTACTAATGTACAAATATTTGATTATTAAATTTGCTTATTAAAAAAATAAATAAATAAAACCAAAAAAGAAAGAAAAGAAAGATCCCAGTGCACTCAAGGAAAGAGAAGTCCCCCAACACCCTTCCTGCTTATTCTTCCAATATAACACACAGCTGGGCCCACCTTACCACATCCTGGTCGATACCAACTTTATCAACTTTTCCATTAAAGCCAAACTGAACTTAGTGCAGTCAATGATGGACTGTCTGTATGCCAAGTGTATCCCTTGTACAACTGACTGTATAATGGCTGAAATTGAGAAATTGGGGCAGAAGTATAGAGTGGTTTTAAGGATTGCCAAGGATCCAAGATTTGAACGATTACCATGTACACACAAAGGAACCTATGCAGATGACTGCTTAGTGCAAAGAGTAACTCAGCACAAGTGTTACATTGTGGCCACAGTTGACCAGGACCTTAAACGAAGAATCTGGAAGATCCCTGGAGTTCCCATCATGTACATTTCTAACCATAGGTACAACATTGAGCGGATGCCAGATGATTACGGAGCCCCTCAGTTCTAATGAAAAGAGAAAATTTCTCCATCTTCCTTTGACCCATTTTCTCTTTTGCCAGTTCACTAAACATGCTATAGCGTGAATTACTATTGCACTCACCCACTTGCTCTATAGTGAGCTGAGTAGAGTTAAATATATTCACTTTTCAGTGTTGTCTTTAAAATTAAATTTTGTGTCATTTAAAAAAAAACAAAATAAAAATAAAGTTCCCCAGGTAGTTCACATGGGTACCCAGGTTGTTATCACTAGATTAGAGGTGATATATATTACTTGAATGACATAGCACCTTCTAAACAAGAATTAATAAATGATACCAATAGTATTAATACTATTATTGTTTTTCATTATTTCTGCCCTTAACCTTACCTCTGTCAAGAAAAGAAGTCTGGTTATATTGAAATTGTAAATAACAAAAACACTTACAAGTGATTATCACTTGGCCTCTAAGCTACTCGGTGAGACAATGAAAGTGACCTGCAACAGCCAGTCAGCTGCGACGACCCCATTCTTTAAAATATGTGCATGCATTCCCACACATCCCATGGCGTGACTTCTCACCAAGCAGGCTTCATCCAGCCTGGGTCTGTGCCAATGGAAACACTTCCCGTTGAAGAGCCCAGTGCCCTCGTTTCCAGGTGCGGATGGCAGGCAGCTGTCTACTTTTACATCCCAAGTTACCTTTGCTCTGCAGTAAATAGATGAGTCACAGTTGGTCCCAGCAGGTCAACTAACAAGCAGCTCTGGGCCATCCTGTCTGGTGGCTTAGGCTATTGGGACAATGCCCTTGGTGCCTATGAGGGAGTCATAAAGTTGGGTTTGACACTCTTTAAACTTATCTTTGTTTGCTGATTGTTTGGCTAGAGGGACTGCTGTTGAGTTATTCCTGGCGTCTATGGACCCTGGATGATAAGCATAATTAGGGTGAAAGGTAGGCAAGCAGCCCTTCATTAACTGAAGCAATGGGTCAAGTAGATTAGTGCAGACAATTGACATGTGTAGACAGACCCTATTTCCACTTTGGATGTACGTTTACTGTCTTTCTCCAGAGTAAATATGTTTTGGGTGTTCCTGGCAGAAGAGTAGCCTGAAGGTTAAGGTTTCTACCTGGTCCATCCCTATCTGAGTGGTGGGGTGAGGCTAGCTTGGGTTTTAAGCCTACTATTTAAATTTCTCTCAAAGCCACCCATTTCTTTGCCTTTATCCAAGTTGGGACCAAAATCATCAAGAGATTATGCATTAATGCCTCTTAGGAGGACCCCGCCACTCCCTCTTGCCTCACAGAGCAGTCAGAATGATGCTTCCTAATCTCAGATGGGAACATTCCCCTTCCCTACCTGAAACCCTCTGGCAAATCCCCCATCATTCTCAGGATCAAGCCTCACCCTTTGACATGGCCTCCAAGCTGACATCAGAATCTGGCCACCATCCCACCTTTCCATCTCTTCCCGCTACCAGCTCTTTGAACCACAATCTTTCACCTGTCTGAAGCACTTTCTCAAGTGCAGCTGATGCCTAGAATTCTTCACTTCTCATTTCCTTAAGGAAGTCTTTCCTTCTTCCTCCTGTGAGTTCCTGATATATGATTCCTTCACTCTGAGTTTCTGATCCTAACACTTCTCAGGTTTTGTTGTTACCACTTGTTCAACCAGAATTTAAGTTCGGTTATGGAGGGACCCTATCCACACTCATGTCTGTGCCTCTTCCCTCTGTATTCTTAACATCAAGTGGGTGTCTGCGTTTCAAATAAACCCTGTAAAGACTTGCCGAACGCAGATCTTTGTAATCCCTTAACAGGTTCACCAGAAAAGGTCAAAGCAATGGAGGAGCCGAAGGAGCGGGATATAATTTGAGAAGAAGCAACACATGTTATTATTCTACATAGCAATCAAAGAGCCAATAGCTACCTACGTTGTGTGACATGCCTACAATATGTAAGGTACAATGTTAGATTTTTTTAAAAACAGCTTTGTTGAAATATAATTGATAAAAAGAAAACAAAATCATTATGATATATACATCACCTCATTCCAGTTAGAATAGCTATTGCTTGGGAAAAAAAAAAGAAGACAAGTGTTTTCAAGGATGGGGAGAAGTCAAGACCCTTGTGCACTTTTGCTGGGAGTATAAAATGGTGCTGCCACTACTGAAAACAGTGTGGAGGTTCCTCAGAAAAGTATAAGTAGAACCACTACATGTTCCAGCAATCCCACTTCTGGGTATGGATTCAAAATAAGATACTTTATAAAATATTCATTTCATTGGTCACTATAATTGTCTTCAAATAATTCTTTGCCGGACCTTCACAGGGTGAGACCATCGTTAATAACTAAGAAGGATGGGCATAATAGCTGACAATTATTTAGTACACACCGTGTGCCAGGCACAACTACACTATGGGTAAGGTGCTATTATTACTCCCATTTTGTGGATGAGGAAACCGAGAAACACAGAGAACGAAGCCATTTGCCCAGGGCCATAGAGCTGGTACCCCGAGCCCACATGTGAAATCGGACACTGCTATTCCAGGGCAGGCACCTGTTACACTGTCTGCACGCTGCCTCCAAGAACTTGGGAGTCTCCACGTTGGCAAGAAGCTATCACAGGCTGAGGATGTAACACAGATGTTCCATCCTCCTTCCAAGAGGCAGAGTGAGGCCTGACTTCAGAACATGAGGGTGAGGCTTCATTTCTCAGTTCCATGAATTATTTCTGAGGAGTTTATTGTATTATCAGTGACTAAGGAACTGAGGCCATGAGGAAACACAAAGGTGTTTCATTACAAATGGTGTAATCTTTATTTAGAGGACCTGGAACTCTGTGGCTTCCCACCCATTCTGTGACCCAGAATTGTGCTGATCTGAAAGTACTGCATGACTTTGGGGAAGTGGTTATCAATCGACACAGCCGCAAGGGCTCTTGGCGGGAGCCAAGGAAGCCCATGGGTCTGGCTGTTTCCACGCCAGCCTCCTGGTCTGGAGAATTTGCACAATGTTTGCTTTCTCCAATTGAAGTCGAGAGCACAATGGGAACATTATTAGAGGCCTTTCCCCTTTAATTAAATTTCCTGCAAGGGGCATCTGCTAGTTTTTTCTAGTTTTGCTGGCGCTGCTTGTATGCTTGGTGCAGATTCACCGCCTCTGAGCAGGGTTAGTTGCCTACTAATTATTAAAGGGATGCAGATGTTCTGAGGGCTCAGCTGCCGACAGTCTTGTGATTATTACTATTTGTTGGTCAGGTGTCCTCTTCCCCATGTTTTGTAGGCTTGGTTACTGGGGTAGTATTGACTTCCACTAATAAAATCACTTGCTCTATTGCTAAGTTTGGTGACAATTTCTGTCATGATTAACTCTTTCCGACTTCTTGAACCTGAGAAGTAGACTATTCTACTACAAGGACCTCAAAAATATTAGATATACCCTCCTTTTGATAATAGCACATTTTTATGAAGAGTTAGATACCTTCTAGGCATTCTCATTTAATTTTTACCACATCCTCATGTGTACTTACTGTTACTGTGTCCACTGTATGGATGAGAATACTGAACTTGCAGTGTTTGCTTGTTTTTAAGTGACCTATCAAATGTCACACAATCAGGAAGTAGCAAAACTGGTATCTAAACTCATGCAACTGATTTTAAGAGCCTATAGGTCTAACCACTGTGCTGTACTATTCTATCTTACTTCCTGTGCTATTTTTGAGTTATTTTATCCATTAGAGTGGTAGCCATGAATACTTGATTGTTTGTTCATCAAAAATACGGTCCAGAGTAATGTCTTTTCCAGCATCATTCAATTTCTGTTAGACACATTCTCTTCCAACTCCCAGCACACACACAACTATGCCTGCATATACCCCTCCAAATTCAGGCAAATAAACTCTGATGCATTTTTCATTTCATAGAATCAAATTGTTCTCTTTCCCATACATATCTTTCCCATTCCTTATCAATTCTTCCATGGTGATTTAAAACCTATTCCTTGTAGGCCTTTTTGGAAGCTAGGGTGACCCTTTTGAAAAGGGAGAAATTTCCCTGAAAAAAATATGAAATTTCAGGGAAAATACATACAGTGTCTAGAGACATGATCACATGGTGCTTGTCTCTTCATACAGTTTTAAATAATATCGGAAACCTTAGGATTGACTTCATTTCACCTTGGAAACTAACCACATGACAAATTGGGTTGGGTAAACATATCCTCAGCATATCTTGAAGCAGAAGAGGTGCAAATTTTCTCCTGTGACAATAACCAGACAGTTGCAGGCAACACAACAAGCAAGAGACCTGAGCCGAGCCTCAGACTTGCTCCTCATAGTCCTGTGACCTGAGCACATCACAGCCCGTTGGAGTCTTGGTTTTCATTTCTTCAATACGGGCTGACAATACTTGCTCTCCTGCCACACTCTTCAAAGGACGCAATGAAATAGCATGGGAAAGCTGCCTAGCATGGTGGCTAGCACACCATAGGCCCTCATGAGAAGTGAAACCTTAACCTAGTGTCAGTGAGGCTCCTTAATAGTCTAAGAAGTGTCTACGTAATCTCCCTGAAAGATAATTTGTTAAAATGAGCACATTTCTGGGTCTCAGATCCCCAAATTTCCAGAGGTACACCAGAAGTGAAGTTTTGGTAACATCACAATGAGATGGCAAAGAACAAGATGGAAAAATGAGGAATTTGAAGACTGTCAGTGAAACAAAGAGGTAGTTGCTAAGAAACACTAGTTTTTTGAAAGTTAGTTTAGTTATCCATTTTCACCCTTGGGCTACTTGAGGTTAGAAGGAGTGAGGATCGATAAAGGCTAATGATCATTTGATGACAGGACAAAAACATAAACCATAATCACTGTTACAAAATAAGACCTATCCCCCACTTCAGGACAGCGACTACTGTGTGGACAGAACCCAGAGAAAACACTTAAACAGCACTGTTTGCTGAACAGAATTCCTGTAACTAAATCAAAAGCATTATCATCACAGGCCATCTACCGGGGCAGAGAAACAGTTTTGT